CTTTTTTTGTCTATACTATTTTGGCGGCTCCCTAGTATGAATATATTATAAGGGGTTGCAAAACCCTATTCTAGTTATTAAGGCCCCTATAGTATGCTCATGCCGTCTTCGTTACTGTGGCTTAAAGTGTTTGCTGTGACCCTTACGGGTAGGGCGGTTTGAATCTTCTTTAGGAGCACTTGCAAGGCGGAGCATTTGCACTTGCCTTACTGCAGTTTGTCGAAGTTGCAAGACGACGAGGGCCTCTAAATAAGCCGCACAAATTCGTGCCCTCCAGCTGGTTTGGAGAAAATTTGTATCGGTACCTGATTTCTGCATGTCCGGTCACTTTCTGCTCTGCCTGGCTTCAGCTGGGGCTGTTCGAGCCCAAATCCTTGGCCATGCGAAGCCCTAATCCCTGACCCCTAACCGAAGAGGCAGATATCAAGCCACCAGCCCCATGCAAGACCCTGAGCCTGAAACTCTAAACCTACTAGTTGAAACATCACCCTGCCTGGTTCCAGCTGTGTTCCCAACCAGCCCAAACGATGCGTCCGAGCTCAAATTGCGATTTCCGAGAATACGGTAGGAACCGCCTGCGGGCTGAAGCCGTGGGCTTGCAAAGCTTTTCGGGCAAATACTTCGAAGGTTATCTCGGACGTTGTGGTGACACTCTACCGGACCCTGTGGTAGAAAGCTTCCCGCTGCCGCCATGCGGATCAATGTTGGTGTGGGAGATGTGGTGCCTTTCCGGAATATGGTTCAATTCAAAAGCTGTTGACATCAGGGGCCTTGACATCAGGGGCCCGAAGTTGCCAAATACGAGCCCACACACTATAAAAACTCATGATCCAGCAAAAATTAAGCTACCCCTGTATTTTTTATGAAGCACGACTGCTGCCGGTAGCGGATACACCATGTGCTTTAATCCACGGCCACAAAGGCAGCCTTTTCCCATCTGCAGTCGGCAAAACCCTGCTTTCCCCAAAGCTTTGCCACTTCGTTGAAGAGGCCGTCTTTACTCCTACACTCGCAAGAAGCTGCATGACCCTAAGCTTATCCGAAGCCGTCAGTAAGGGTTTAAAGTTCAAGGGTTTGGGGTGCGCGGGTTTACGGTTCAGAGCTTATGGGGCTTAGGGTTCGCCAGCCTCAAGCCCAAGCAAGTGCATTCTCTCGCAGCATCGCCTGTGCTCAGCAAGCTTGCACGACAAGTAGGTTGGCCACTTGCAAAAGGTAGCAAAGGCAGTCCCAAAAGCAGCCAAGCACAGGCAAAATCCAGCAGGCTCTACGCCTGTCGGGTACGACCGAGTTGGGTATCAATGCCTCGAGCTGCGGCAGTCCACTAATGTGTTGGGCATCATGCTCAGGTCGTCATGGTCGTTCTGTTCACGCTGACCGTGGCCAAGGGCGTCTTGCCATAAGCAGTTTCTTTTTAGCAGTGTTGAAACTCTGGACAACCCCCTCCCAGCGCCTGCACTCGTGCTTGGGCTTGTTCTACACAATTGCAATGGCGGGGTGCTAAGCAAGCATTGCGAGTTCACCATGAACGACCCTAAACTCCAAAACCACAAGCCGCCCAAACTCGTCAACCGAAGCAAGAGCCCTGACCATGCTACACATACCCCAAACTCTAAACCCCATAAACCCCGAGGTCCACCCCAATACTCTGCTTTTGGGGTTTAGGGCTTTGCCGGCACCTCTTCACCAAAACCTCCAACGAGCTGTTGAGGCATCTGGGTCAGTCTCAAGGCCAAAGGCTCCCGCGACGGATCAGCGGAGCTGAGACCTCAGGGGTTCTGGGAGCAAAGATGTGCACCATCTACTCTCTCTCGTTTGTATACATATATATATATATAATATGTAGAGAGTAGGTAGATGGATAGGTTCAGGTCGATAGATCGATTGATAGAAAGATAGATAGATAGGGAGATATGCCCGTTGCGTGTTTGGTATACACAGCTGCGACAGGGTTGTTTCGGGCTGTGGTCGTTGGCCCTTCAGATTTTCACTGCATGGCCTCGAGCTCTCATCAGGTTTCAAGTTCCGAGTATGCCCGACCACACGGACTTTTGGTTGAAGAGTCGCAGATGTCGTGAGTCGGTCTGGAACAGAACCGTAGTTGGAAAAGGGCACCTGATCCGCCAATACGTTGTTGGCTGCTCCTGAAGCTCGAACCACCAAAAGAAATTCTGCACATCCTAAAGCTTCCAAGGCCCACCGACTTCTTCTTGGCTGGACGAAGCATGCCTTGGTGGGCGGTGGGGTCACTTGTCCGAAGGGTCTTCTTCCGAAACACTGAAGATCTGCGAAGCGTGCAACTCATGGATTCAGGGCACGTTCGATGCAGTGAGCAACACAGCTTGTAGACACATATTCCAAGTTGTATTGTATCATATGTTCTTGGTCGGCAGACCCAGAACCCAGAACGCTGAGCCTTCCGAGGCTCAGCATCTTCGACGGAGCCTCAGAGGGCTCGAGCTTGGGCACAGTGCAGCTACCCAGAGGGGTGTAGTGACACGTGTTTGCTGCGCTGAGCAGAGAACGTAGCATTGCCGAGCCTCGTTTTCCATCAGAGGAACACGAGGAATCGTGATAGTACCCTACAGGTCCATGTTCTCATCCAATGTATACATTGGCCTTAATGTAGTCCCTAATTAGCTACTTTGGGGCCCAAGCATATACTATTTGGGTACATGGACCCTTCGGGGTAGTAAGGGGTCGGCTATGGGGTGAAGCCTTTGAGCAGACGCCTTCGGCATCCCATTGCGGCCACTCTGCAGGCATCGAACATCGGAACGGAGCACTTCGTTGGCCAGGTGCTGTGCCTTTTTGCCCTTTTTGTGGCTGCAGGTCCTGAAAGGGAAAAGGCATAGGGTTGAGGGCTTGGGTGTAGGGTTTCTAGGGCTCAAGGCTTAGGCTTAAGGGCTTGGGGCCTGCAGGTCTATTAGAGGACCGCATGAACATGAGGACGCAACATTTAGATTGGCACTGTCAGGCAGCAAGTATACGGAGCCTGTTTCATGCACCTCGCGAAGTGCTAATGTGAGTTTCTTGGAGTCACACGTCGACATCGTCTACAACGAACAGATGCATCATTCTGGTATACAGAGTGCTGAGAACTTCCCGCTTGAGTGTAAGTCGACTGCGCAGAGGCAGGTGCTGCTGCCGAGGGCGGCGTCTCGGTTGCCATGTACGAGTGGTCTGCAGGCAGCAGGGCAGAACTGTTTCAGTGAGGGGCGAGCTGTTTCCGTGAGGGTTGAAGCGACATCAGTGCATCCAAGTGTTGTTCATGTCCTTACGACAGTACCGGGGGCCTGAGAAGCAGGAAACGGCATAATATTTCACGGGCGCAGAGTTTGTTGGAACTTGTTGGGAAGGAGGTAGAGGTTCTTCCCAGTCCGTCGTGCGATGGTATCTTGTTGATGTCCAGGGTCTTAGTGCCCATGTTCTCCTTTTCAGCTTGATGATCTGGAGGACACCGGGTGTTCTACAGTATCAATAAAGCCAAATCGTAGCATGTCGAACTCTATGAAGTCGAGGCTCGGCATCTTACAGTCTCAGCATGGTGCAGGAGTATAGACTAAAAGTATGTACTGAAACTTAAACCAACCCATTGAGATGAAGCTTCGGCTTTCGGGCTGTAGAACCAAAGGGTCAATTTTGGTTGGAGGAGGCAGGCCTTTCCGCAGGGCAGCCAAGTGACGAAATTCAAAGTATGATTGAGCCCAACTCTAAACAAGACAGGCCTTCTGATTTTCTTCTTGGGCTTTGGCCTGGCGCCGCTGTACCTCGGTCTTGTGTCTCGGCTGACTGCAGGCTGTGCCATCCCAGGAGTCAAGCATATCACTGCCAGGCCTTCTCTTCGTAAGTCAAAGTAAAGCGTGTCAGCGTGCAAGAGCGCCCGAGGGTTCGAAATAGTGGACGACAGGCACAAACAGACCCTGCGCAAGCATCAGCAAAGCCTTGCACATCACTGGTCATAGTTCGCATTCTATGCAACATCACTTGTCGGAGCTTGCAGGTCGTGCATACTGTTGAGTCATACACCCCGACGGGTCTTTGGCTTTGAGGGCATGCCGGTATTCTGTGGCTCTTAGGGTCTGGGATCACTCCATGGCACTCTGGGTCTCAGGCGACATGTGCAGGTTAGATTGGAAGATTTTGGGGACGTCGCTCGAGGTTTGCTATTAGCCCAAAACTCGCAGATGTAACCCTGCTATGAACCTCGAAGCTTCCACGGCTGCGGGCCACGGCTACGAACCCTGAGCTCCGTGAACAGGAGCTGATAGCACAGTGGTTTTGAGGGAAGGACACTCAACCCTGAACCTTACAGTAAACTCGACAACCACGACCACGGCCCTGTCTTTTAGCTGAGGACTTGACAACGACGCCAGAGTGGTTCGAGAAACGCTCACTGCTCGCAATACGGGGTTTATATAGGATTGCACTTGTCGTAGGGAGTGTCATGCACAGGTGCACACAGAATCGAACACAGGCTAGACAGGATCGTTGCAAGTTGACTTCGGCTTTCAGAGCACGGCTGTTGCAAACAAATCCGTGAAGCTGCAAAGTTTGTTGCCCGCCAGGAGTCCTTCAACAAGCCATTGGTATGATCTGGGGCCCTGACAGTACACAGCGAAACCGAATCCTTGCTTGACATGTTGCATCGTGACTGCACAGTCCGTCGTGTCACGAATCTGGAATTCCTACCAGACGGGAGACTCCTACGGCAAGAGTCCTCCGAACCGCTTGTAGGCTTTAGCATCCATTGCCGCCTGGTTTTGGCCGTCATCTCCATGGTGGCCTATGCGACCTGGCAAGCGAGAGTTGTCCAGGGAAGATGTAGGCAGGTGCTGACAAGGTGACCTAAGTGAGTTATTTGGCAAGGTTTTGCTTGCCAAGTCAGATGCGCAAGAGGTCAAACATAATGCAGATCATTCCCACATGTTTCCAATACCCCAGCTTAGGTGATCACGAAGATCGCTGCTTCACTGTTTGCGGGGGCTGTTCTCTTCGAAGTCATGCTGGGCGTGTCGATGTGGACCAGCGTGCCATTCATTTTGCTGCTGCTTGGATGAAGGACAGCTCGGACAAGATCTGCCTCTCACTCGAATAGCCCAGCGACTGGGTTATGGGCACCAGAAGACTCATATTCCCAAGGCCTAAGTGAGTGGCATAGACGCAAGAATGCAAGAGTGCAAATTTGGACGACTCAGGTTTCTAAACTTGGCAAGCTGGAGGCTTACAAGCATCTCCGAGGCTTCCTAGTTGACTCCATCCAGGTCTAAGCCGGAAAGCAATCTTATGCCACCCTTGAACCCTAAACTAAACCTAAACCCTGCATATATTGCCAGACAAACACACCTCGTGCTTGGTCGGCGGCACCACTGACTTTTGTAAGTAAGGAGCCATTCTCGTATCAAAGCGATTCATGATACCACGACTGCAGTAAGAAATTTGTTTCTTCGGATACAATGCCCTAAACCCTAAACCCTTGTCCGGTGGGCAATGGGGCATCAGTCAGAGGTTCACAGCGGTCTATGCTGCATCTGGTGGGCTGCGCGCGGTGATGTGCCTGGGTTGAGACGGTGCAGATGCTAAAGTGCGGTGCTGGAACTTGCAGGGAGAGTGTCAAGATTATGTCAGTGAGCTTGATCGACCGCTACCATTGCAAAGCACCTGGTGTTGCATACTTGCTTTTCCTGCGACTTCCGCCGCCTACTGTACGAAGGTTCGATCGTTACATGCTTTCTCCTGGGCGGACACGTCACTACATGTGGTAAATTGTGTGCAGGGCTTGCCGCGAACTAAAGCTTCGGAAAACAGCACCTCGCACTTGCAGGCAGCTAGTTCGGTAGATCATCTGCGCCTTGAGGGTCGAGAGTCGATCTGCTTTCTGCCGCGATGCGTGTTCCAGGCTTCTGTGCGACTTTGGCAGGAGAGCCCCCGCGAGAAGAGGTCAAGCTCTTGTTGGTATTAAGAGCCATGTCATGCCCAAACAACCTAAGGATGATGAGGGAAGTAGCTCCAACGAGCAGGTTTCTGCAGTCCTGCTTTTGAAGCCTTGTCTAAGATCCCGCACAGAGCCTCTGCATGGTGACACCATTGCTAGGTACACCGACGCCGGACAGGCGACGATTTTCCTCATTGGCGGGTTCGTTGGCATGGCGGTGGCCTTCAGCAAGATAGGCCCGGCTAAAAGCTCTGCTGGTCGTGAGTCTTTGAAGGTGGCAGAGGTTTTGTGAAGCCGAGCAGTTCATTCTCAAGCTTTGCTACTCATACTGTTCACGATAGAGAGATCGAAGCTCGAAGAAATGCCCTTGGTATGTTGGTCTGCTATTTCGAAGGTCTCTGCCGATATCATCGTTTCTGCATATCTAGTACTGTACGGCTACATGCGCATGCAGTATGACGGGCAATGTATGTATTCCGGCTCCAGGTTCCCACAAGATGCACCAGCCAACCAAGTTCCCGCCTGGTTGCTGAATAAAGTTCTGAAGAAGTAGCCATGTATCCACGTGTAGTCCATGTGAAAAGCTTTAAACTCGCGATGTGTCCCGAAGCCGTATCTACTTATTGCGTCGCATATAGAACTTCTCGCAGTGAAGGTGGAATCGCCGGCCTTGCTGACACGCTGGAGAGGAACGATACTCGCTTGGACCTGGCGGAGTGGCCAAGCATCACACGTGGCGTTGTATACCTGAAAGCCTGTGAACTTAATCACTGAAGGGCCAATCCCAGCCTGGTAGCCAAAGAGCTCAATGCGACTTGAAGATAGCCCTTCAATCACAACAAGGAGACCCCTGCTCTTCGGGAAGCTGCCAGTCTACCAAAGCAGCCCCTGACGCCCAAGTCCAAGGACCTGAGCTACATGCTGACCACACTGCGGCCACCATCCGACAAGGAGTTCCCCTTCACAGGCTCGGCAGCTTTTAGATTTCGGGCTTAGCATTTAGGATGTAGGGTTGACCATGAGGATCCAAGCATACAGGTACATAATGCCTACGTTGGAGTTTAAATTAATTTCTCTACATGGCACCTACTTCGGGCAATTCGGGCCCCAGGGATAGGTTTTGTGTCCAGGGTTTCAGGGCCCAGATTTCAAGGTACGTTTTGGGTTTTCAGGGTTTAGCTTTTGGGTATTTTGAGATAATAAGAGTTGAGAGTTGCTGGGTATGTTTGCTCTCGTGTTTCCGAGGACCAGTTTAAGGAATTTGAGGGTTTCGGGTATAGGGAACCAGTGGAGGGTTTTGGTTGAGGGTCGGGAGACGCTGGCAATTCCTCTGTCAGGCTTGGCACTTGTTATATGAACCCCGAATCCTTTCAAACCCTAGACCCTGGACCCTAAGGAACCTACCTTTCTAGGGCGTTTTAATATGAAGTTACCTTTGCCCTCCCTAAAAAGGTAGGTTATTTGGGGTTAAGGTAGACCCTGAAGCTCCAAACCCAAGCCCTTCAAGACAAACCCCAGAGAGTTCGAAGCATACAGCGGACCCTGTGGCAGGAATGCTGGTGGGGCAGCCCTTGTCGTCCATGTGGTCACCCGACGATGGTCAAGAGGGGCTCCCGCTTGGGGTTCTTGGGGGGGTCTTGTTTTCAGAGCACCTTGGGGTTTCGGGACTTCGATTCTCAAGTTCGGAGCTTGGGGTCAAGAACTTGGGTCTCCATGGGCCTGGCAAATTAAGCTGCATAGACAGCCTGAGTTGTTGTTGCGTTTGTTTTTTGCCGGTCTCAGCCGGGTTCTATCAGGGTTGGGGGTGTGCGCTGGGTGAATGCGTAACTTTCTTTCCCTCGGGTCAGCGAACCTGCAGGCGATATTGAGCCCTAAGGGACCATGTACTCATATAGTATATATACATTGGCCTTAATGTAGTCCCTATTTAGGTACTTTGGGGACCATGTATCTCTATATGTGTACATGGACCCTTAGGGGAGTTGCAGCTTGAGAGCCGGTATAGTAAAGCCTTGTGCACCCTTGGCTCTCGAGGTATTGGTGCGTGGACCAGACAATGGTCCAACGCGTTCTGAGCGCCAAGGGCGTGGTGCACGCCCGAAAGGGCTGCCTCCTTGCAGGCTTTTTTGGGGCTTCGAATTTTAGGTCAGGGTAAAGGCGATAAAGGCTTCAGGGCTTGTTGGGGTTTTGGGTTTTGGGGAGGTTTGGGGCTCTTGGCGCTTCGGGCCGCCGGATGTGGGAATGCAGGGTTTAGGGTTCGATGTGACTGTCTTCCGTTTTGTCTGATTGCGCTCTTGTGCAATTATCGCTTTTGAACAACATAGGACAGTCGAGGGTTCTCGGTTCAGCAGCTCTGGGACTTTTCTTCTCCATTCGAGCAAAGACCCGTCACTAAGCCCCACAATCCGAAAAGCCCGGAGTTCAAAGCCCTCACCGCGAAAACTCCTGAATAGCAAGCCTTTGTTGATGGGAAGACGTGGTTTATCTAACTTCGAAGCCCTTTGAAGATGTCGGTGGCGATTTTCGCCGTTGGCAGGTTATCTCAAAATCCTACCTCCCTTCCTTATGGTGCTGCTCGACTGAAAAGTTGGAGACATTAATAGGGGTGTGGGATATCCTCAGACTCAGGTTGTTCAGAGACGTTCGGGCTGTTTGGATGCTCGGTTGTCGGCTGTGTCGAGCTTTCAAACTGTCTCGAGATTGCGGCTTGTGGGTGCTGCCAAGACAACCTGGTTCATTCGATCTTGCTGCTTTTACCACCATTGCGGCTTATTTGCTGCTACTGCCACTTCTCCTCCTCCTCCTCCTCCTCCTCCTCCTCCTCCTCTTCCTGCTGATCCATTTTCTAGCTCCATCTACGAGCCTCCGGGCTTGAGAAGTTCCTCAATTTGTCTACACTACGTGATGTGTACAGTATCTCTTCATGTAAACAATGTGGGAGTTTCCGAAAATAGGGGACCCTAATATGGTACCCTAAATAGCAGGATCCTTATTATAAGGATCCCCCCAAAAAGGTACCCCTAACTTTCGGAAACTCCCATGTAGCACACTCCTTGTCGGAAAAGCGAGTAGGAAGCACGGCCTGGCGGTCAAAGGACTCGAAGGAATCCCTGTACCTCTCTTCAACCATGCCTATAGTCTCGATTGTAGTTCCTTTTTTGGTTTAACCAATTATATAATTAGGATCCTATAAGGTAACCCCAAAAAGGAACTACAATGGAGACTATAGGGGGGTTTTCCAAAAGCATCTACCGGTTGCACCGTGATGTCCAGTAAACCGCAGCCGGACTTCTCACGGAGCCCCCCAAAATCCTTCGTCACCCTGGAAACCAGAGACTAGTCGAGCTGTGCAGAGGAGCTGTCAGATATTAGGTAATGGGATCCTGCATGATCCTTTGATTTAGCGTTTGGAGTTTACTCTTCATGGTTTCTGTCTAACGTGCTTCAGTTTTCTGAATTTTGGTGTCAGGTCCAGGATTTGGATGGGTATGGCCGGTACAATTGTTGTTAATTTCGCAGTTCAAGGGGCAACAACCCAAAACTCTGAACATTAAGCCCTGAACCTAATATACCTAGAGTAACCCTTATAGTAGTTATAGTAGCCCTTACAGACCCCCTTTAAAGGAACCCTATTCTAATTGAAATTCAGGCCCCTATATGGGGGTTTCCGAAAATAGGGGACCCCAAGAAAGTACCCTAAATGATAGGATCCTTATAATAAGGACCCCAAAATACGGTACCCCCTATTTTCGGAAACTCCATATGAGATGTTCGTCTTCATCGGCTGCTGCTCCGAACCCCGAGGGGGCCAAGAGACCCGGAAGCTTTGCAGACCCTGACTCGACAAGTAGGGCCGTTTAGGGGTTTGGGGGTTTAGGGGTATTAGGGTTTAGGGGTCTGGGGGTTTAGGGGTATTAGGGTTTAGGGGTTTGGGGGTTTAGGGGTATTGGGGTTTAGGGGTTTAGGGGTTTAGGGTTTACTTCAGGTTCCCTGGCATCATTGCCCGCGCCTTCTTCGCAGAGTGTCAGCGCTGCTTGACCTCAACATGCGCGCTGCGGGTGTTTTAGAAATTGAATCGATTTGGGATTTCAATCTGAAGGTCAGCTTGACCGAGGTACATGGGGTCATATGGTACGTACGCCGACATACATGGAAGTGTGCATGAAGGGTTTACACTCGGAATGAGGAACAGAAGGCCAGCTGCACGGCGACTGGTGCGGAACAGACCTGGGTGATGCCAATGAGGTGGGCACGACCACAGCTTGCAATGCAATGCAACCAACCCACTGAACTCGTTCTATATCCTCGACCAAAAATCGGCTAGCTGATCAGATGTACCCTCTGGACACTTCAGATGCCGATACCCGTAAACGAAACGAGCTTTGGCTGCGGGGCTTCAACCAGACAAGCCCCTGTCTTCCGGACCTTGTCTCTTGAGACCCCAAAGCCAAGGCTTCCAGGCTTCCGAGTTTAATGGTTCAGGATGTCGGCTGCAGGATTTGGGTACTAAAGTTTCGGGGTTTGGGAAAGAGGACTTCGGTTATTGGGGTTTTGAGTTCAGGCTCCGTGGCTTTGGGAAGTGCCCCCAGGGTGTGTAGACATAGATTGAGGCTTCAGTGTTCGCATGGAACCTCATAAGACAGCACACAACGGCCTTGGCCAGTCGAGCAAAGCCTATCCGCTGCTCATCGCCAAGATGTTTCCAGACGGTCTTCGAGGCCCCCCCTCCCCTGACTAATTGGCCCCTTGTCTTCAGGAGCACGAAGAATACAGTCCTGCTACAATCCCAAAGACCCAAGTAGAGTGCAGTTTATAGGGATACCCGATACCTTTCGTTGAGCCCTACAATGCAAAGGGGCACGCCGGGCCTCCGACCGGTTTGATTGGGTTCGGCATATGGAGCTCCGGGAACGTTCGGGGTCTTCAGGGTTTCGGAGGTTTAGAGCTTTACGGACTTGGGGATCTTGGGTTACTTGGGTTGACTGCTTAGTGTGTTGTGGTACAGGGCTCTAGGCTTGAGGTGTTGGTGGCTTCGAGGGTGTGATTACTTGAGGCCAGTCTAGTGTGCGCAGGTGAAGGCTTTTGGATCGATCTTAAACCCGACTCAGATCCCCAAGGTTTTGAGAAAGCTTCAGGGTCTGGGGATTTACGTAAGTCTAGTCTCAAACCTGAACCTTAGAGAACCGTAAGCCCTAAACCTACACCAAATCCGAAACCTGAACCCTAAAAAGAATTGAACCCCAAACCACTTCATCTTTAACTTTAACCCTAAGCTCTACAGCCTGATTCGCACCTAATTTGGCAACATCAAGCAAACCCCAAGCACCGAAAGCATACACTACATATGCCTTCACACATCCTGAACCCTAAACTGTACTGCAGTGTGGAAAAAGGTGTTAAAAAAACCCTACAAATATGTAGATCTCGTAGGACCGTTTCAGAAATTTCCATGCTTATAGAAACCTTAACCCCAAACCCCTGAGCCCTAGTCCCTGAACCCTAGAAACCCAGAGACTCCAAAACCCCTTAATTAAGGAATATATTTTAAATTATAGTAGGATCCCTAATATGATTTAAGGAATATTCCTTAATTAAGGGATATTGGAGTCTCTGGGAAGGCCTTCTGATCGTTTCCATGGTGCTTGCCATGATGTCCAGCTTGGACTCGGCGCTGCGCTGAGCCTGCTTCGGCTTTCGGGTTTCAGTCGACTTGGCGGCTTACTCTAGGGGCCTTCAGTCTTACCCATACCGTCTTGGGGGGTTCCTTCTTATAGTTATGGTATAATGAGCCCCAAAGCTCTATTCTAACTATTAAGGCACCTTCAGTACATTTATGCATTTAGGGTTTTCTGCGTTAGGGATTCGTCTTGACGGTGTATGTTTCAAGGGTGTATATAGGCTTAGCCCACTTCTCAACCTACTGGCTTTCAGCTTAAAACTTGTGCAGGTGAGTTGCCTTCTGCTGCAAAATCACCTTTCTTGGTCCCTTTCCCCCCAAACCCTAAGCACTAAACCCCAAACCCTGAATTTGTTTTTGGAACGCGGCATCTGGGCTGCTCTGCTCGAGATGCGCTCGTCCCCCTTGCTTGTCCCCCTTGCGGGTGCACGTTTCGCTGTTGGGGGTCGGGCTGGCATGGTCATGGATGTTGATATTTGGACAAATGACTAATGGGGTATGTTCTTCAGGCTTGGGGGTTTCGGGTTTGCCGCTTTAGGGCTTGGGGCTTTGGGCTCCCATGCATGGAACAACAGGAATGAGGCACGAACGCTTCGAATCGGGCGTTGCAGTCATCCCCGAACTCATCGTCGTCATTGGCATCCTCACTAACACCATCACCATCGGCAGAATCCCCTTCGGAACCACGATCACAGCCCAGCAGTGGCACATCAGCCATAAGAACAAACACGCAACAAACCTGTGCGAGACTAACTGTGGATCTCCCTTTCGTTTCTTGCAGCCCATCCTTGACCCACCCTCGCAGGTGTTCAACTGCTTATCCACCATCTTCACTTACGACATCTACAAACGCTTCCTACACCCGCAGGCCCAGGGTGTAGGGCCGTAGAGGACTTTTGCTTCCACGTGAATTTGCGAGCAGATAAACCACCTCCTTCATGATGAGTGGCCGGCTTATCAACAGAAAAAGTCTCCGTGCCCCCGCGTTTCCCGCGCTGCTATGAACCCAAACGACCGTTACGGCTATGAAGAGGCGCTGTCTGCGAGGATGGCGAAGTTCGGGGAGGAGGAAGTTTGGCAAATAGAATCGGCTGATGAAGATGAAGATGACGATGATGACAGCGCCATGGAAGGCTTTAGATTCCCAGATCCAGTTCCAAGGCAGCAAATCTCGACGGTGCACTTGGATGAGCAGGGCGTTCTTGGACACAGCCTCAGTGGTGAGGTGCTGTTCCAGATTACACGATATCGTTCGCAGGATGAACTGTTCACCGCTGGAATGCTGCTAGATCTGATCTCAGAGGAGACCGGGTGCGAGGCCGGAATTCTGCTCCAGGATGGCCGCGAGCTATCAATGTCCGACCCTGTCAGTGGAGAAGGAGTTCTGACCCTAAAGCAGACAACCCTGGACTGTCGACCCCTGCTTTGCCGTAAGGTCCCTCTCTGGCATATCTGCACTCCGCGCCTCGGGGAGGGGGAAGTTCGCCCAGACTTTCGCGACATGCTGGAGCCCGTGCAGGCCTTGAGGGAGTGGCGGACGTGGGTGACCAGCACCAGTGGCGGCAAACCTAATTGGTTGGTGTATACCAGACGGGAAGTCCTATCCTACGAAGCAGGCAGAGATGAGCCGTTGAAACCCTTCGGATACTTCCCTCACGCACCTTGCTGGAAGCTGCCTGTAGGAACCAGGCAGTGGGGAGGCGAACGAAGTGATGTATGGAGCACTTGCGTAAATTTGTCTGTGAGACAGCTGTTGGATGAGCATGCAGCCTTGACGCTCGACAGGCCGATACCACGATATCAGATGATCGTGGATCCCAACCAATTTGTTCACCAGACGCGTGACGGTCCTGTGTGGGTGCCGTGCGAATTTGACATTTCTGCAGATGGCACTCCATCATTGGTGGGTGGTACGCGAAGTCATGAGTATCCACACCTTGCCCAGCACGTTGCACTTCCGGTGCTCTCTGCAGCACTGCCCTTATTGGCAAAGTTGCGGCGACCACAGCTTCTTCTGGATGATCGGCGGCTTCAAGTTGTGTTTAAGGCACAGCGCATCACTGTTCCGGGAAATACCGGTAACAGCTCGGATGCAGAATATGTCGGTCTGTGGCATGTTGATGGCCACAGGGAAAATGTGGCTGCCGTCGTGTTGTACTACTACCAAGTGGACTCTTCTCTTCGTGGTGGTGACATGGAGTTCTGTGGCCGTGAGCCCATGGATGTTTTGAGGCGGGGCGATCGCATGGACAACGTCCATCAATTGGGATCGGAGTCCCTGCGGCTGGCCTTCCGCGGTGCAAGCCAGAGTGGCAAGTCTGCTGCAGTGCACAACTGTCGGGTTCCGATTGGTGTTGGCACCCTTCTTGTGTTTTCGAACTATCAAATGGCACACCGGGTTCTGCGGTTGCACAACACCCGTGCGACAGAGGCCTCACGCGACTTCGTGGCTCTCTTTGTCCTTGATCCGTCTGCGCCGGCCCTGCTTCCGGCAAGGAGCGCTCTGGCAGGGCGACACTTGTTGAAACGGACGCTGGCTCCTGTCGGGATTCCATTTTCAGCGTTTCAGAACCTGCTGGAATTCCTGGGATTGTCGCAGACCGACGTCATGCGGAAAATGCAACGAAACCACCTGCTGTCGGAGCAATTGAAGCCGTCCGGTGAGTTTGCTAATGGTGGTAAAGTCTTCGCGACCGGGAATGGATGCTATACCATGATCGGCTGGCTGCACAACTTGCTCGAGCACCATGGAGACCCAGAATCCTTCCGAGAGTGTAACCCGAGAGGTTTCGAACGTCTCAGAGCGCTGAACCTGGCACCCGAAGGCTGCGACCGCGGTCTCTCCGAGCTTCTCTCGCTGCCTACTACGAAGCTGCGTCAACGTCTCGGAGAAGTTGGCAAGGGCTCTGAAGCTGGCACTGACGTGTTTCCTTCAGTGTTGCATGGACTAGTTTTAGTAGGTGTAGCTGCCTTAGTCATAGTGACCCTGCGTGCTAAGTGCCCCTGATCCTTTAAGGAAGATGGCTTTGAAGATTCCGAGCCGCAACGGCGAAGGCGTAGCTGCGGCCATGAAGCTCTGAGACAGCTACGATGTGTGGTTTCATGAGCAGGCTTTACCCATGCTCAGCAACTTGCTGCACTGTGGACAGGCGGAGCATGCAGCGGCAAAAGCTGAGGTGCATGTAAATCCCGAACCCAGGCTCTCAAATTCTTAAACCCTAAGCTATAGCTTATCGCGACTGGAAAGCTTCGTGTCAGTCTCCAGGTCTTGCAGCCCTTGGGCAAGCAAAGCCCAAATTCACAATATAGGCGTCTGAATAGTTACGCACTATGCTTGAAGTGACTGTGGTGCATACTATACGTTACCATTCTTCGAATTTAGCGCTATATTCCATGTATCTAGAATGCTCCCCAGTGCTTGCCAGCCTCACTTCTCCCCACCAACATAAACCCCAAATTTCTGATCAACCCCAGCCCTTCAATGCTCTAGAACCCTGCAGCCCTCAACTGTATAAACCCACTCCCAGACATAAGCTGTGGTATGTTCTTGACTGGGCCTCCTCTTAAGCGCAATTCATTTCCATGCCAAGTCTGTCAGATTTTAGCCGGGCCTTAGACAGCTGGCGATGTGCGGAAGAGGTACAAAATCGAATAGAACACTGTTCTAGTCTTCCTGACTGCGCCCTCTTGACGTGCAGGCTTCGCGTCGTCGGCAAGTTTGGATTGGCCAGCTTGCAGCTTGTTTGCTATGAAGATGTGCACGTGGTTTACGTGTTCGGGTTGTGGATTTTGGTTCATCAGAGCTGCTACCTGAATGTTTTCACCCCAACACATAGGTTCTACTAGGTTTTTCTAGAAAAACTTGAGTTTTTTTGCTTTGACACATAGGTTCTGCATAAAAGAACCTCTCCGGGGAGCAAACGACTCAAACCCCAACCGATTCCTACACTAACTGGCCCGCTCCTTTTGTTGTAGCATTTTGTGAGGTAAACTATAAGGGTTTGAGAAAGTGTTCAGGGTTTAGGGTTTTGGTTTAGGGTTTAGAGTTATACTTCTCATATCAATGCTGGGGACTACAACTTGACATGTATTCCAACCTCCATAGTAAGTGAGTATCCGGTGCTTGGGCTCAGATGGCTTAAGCAATAGATAAGCTGAACGCCCTTCAACTATAGTGTTCCCGTATAGTCCCGACAAAAGTACACCATGGGAGTCGAGTTTCCCCTTCCAGACTTTGTTGGCTGGACACCTTATGCAGGACCCTCCTAGACAATGGCCCCCGATGCCTTGGTTTGGCAGCCTCGCTTTGGTGAATTTCCAATGCCACGAGGGCATCAGCATGACGAAGATAGAAGTTTCTGTGCTCATAGATCACACGAGCGAAGCCTTGACTCCTAAACCCTCAGCGGTTCACGGTCGAGGGATCAGGGTTTAGGGTTACACTATCATGATAAGCCTGGCGCATCTCGTCTTTCAAGTCCAACACGGCTGTGCTGGAAAGATATTACGACGATTACGACGGATGAACAAGGGCCCCCCCAAGTTCCATTCAGCCCCAACACATCTTGAACATTGGTACCTATTTTCGATAGCCTATACATAGGTTACGATTAGACAAGAAAAGTGCTTCAAGCCAGGTCGAGGAGCCCACTTCAAAGACTGCTCACATTCATCGCTACCATGCAGCCCACGGCGAAGGTATAAGTACAACATCTGATATGTGTCCGTGTCACTCTATAGAGCCTTAATCCTGAACTTTTACACCGCTTGAGCCGTCGTGCCAAGAAATGCCAGGCTAAGCGCCTTTCGAAATCCAAAACCCCTGAACAACCCTGGAACCACAAAAAAAAACACAACCCTCGTAAAACCTTTACACCTTGAGAACTCCAAGCCCCCCTAAACCCTAAACCATATAAACCCTAAACCCTAAACATCCCTGAACCCCAAATCCGAAACATCCCTGAACCGACAAAACCGATCTGCGCTCGAGGCCACGGGTGTCGCCGCCCTTTGCGGCCTGGCCTGGCTCCCCATGATTGCCAACAGCGCAAACGGACCTTCCCGAGACTCCTAAAGCGCCCTGAACCTAAGACCGCCCCAGAGACGGCTTCTCTTAACTTTGGTTAGTAGGGAATGGAGGAATGGGGTCTAATTATAACTACTACTACTACTACTACTACTACTACTACTACTACTACTACTACTACTACTACTACTACTACTACTACTACTAGTTACTACCATTGATCCATTAATTCTCTACTAACCAAAGGTAAGTTCTCCGAAATCCTCGAACCCCATAGCTCTGGGCTAGATTGAACCAAGACTATGCACTGCGGGTTTGGGGCCCGGATCGGTTGGGGTGTCTGCACATGCTTCTTTGACATGATGATCCACGGGTGGGAGCCCGCCTTTCCTGCATAGCTGGGGCTTTCTTACTGCGCATTAACCAGAGTTTGTCGACTCCGGGTTTCTAAGGCACCTACACCCATTGTAGTGCTCTTTCTGTGATACCTGCATGGTTTCCCTGTCGAGGAGCCTATATAGCCGCTGGCCTTTCACCTAAAACAGTACAGGTAGGCTCATGCTTATGTACTCCAGGACGTCCCCAGTCCCCAGCAGCTTCAATAAACAGGAGCTCATACTCTTTCTCTTAGGTCGGTGGAATATAAACTCGAGGCTGTTGCAGGGTGTATAGGGTGGAGAGAAACCCAAAATATGAGCACTCCGATGCCCGACCGGCTCGACATTGAACCTTCAATCTGGCACCTTCCAGCCCTATCAAACTGTTGTGAAATCCTGGTAATTGTGCGAAACTCCATGGAACGGAGCATCTCGAAATGTTAAAGCCGTATAGGTTGCAAGCAGTTTATCCGCAGCGCACCGCAGGATTGTACCTGACCACGCAGAGTGCGCAAACTCACATGCACCTCGGCATTGGGTTGTTGTGGGGCGGAAGTTATGGGATCGAAGGTGTGGTCCAGTCTGGGGGGGATTAGACTAGACATTTGTTCCAGCTTTGAGGTTTCCCGTCCTTCCAACGGTTTCAGGATTCAGCTTGCCATCTTGAGTGAGATTACTTCGCAGTCGGATCAATGTTCGGCTCAAGACAAGCAGGGACGAAGTACACCAATAGCATGCTCTCCAGGCCTACGTGACTTCCTCTGTGGCACCTTTGTATTCAGAAGCTTTCATAGACCAATTCAGAGTGCGTTCCTTACGTACGGGCGGTGCGGTCCTGAATTCCTGTGTTCCTAGACGTTATACTCTCATACCCAGAGCAACCGGATACCTATAAAACACACATTGAGCCGAGGACTCTACAGTCTGATTTAAACGTCCTATCCCATCCTGTTACTGGTAACCCTTCACGCCTTGATATCCACAGGTTACTCGTGAGTTGTGTATCTACCCACATACAACAGTACTGAAATAGAGCCCTAGAAAAGGATGACGCCATCTAGTTTCCTACGGGACCCGATACAACCCATTCTTTTTGGAACCCGAAATAACGTGAAACAGCCCTTAGCAAGCTGAAATTCCTAAAATCCTAGATAAAGCCCTATAAACCCTAAACCCCCGCCGGTTCCGAGGTCTCCGACCTTGGTGGCAGTGTTCCTCGTGGGCCTTTTCTGGCCCAGGGCGAACGGACCAGGCCCGCGCGCACATGTTCGGGGTCAGAGCTTAAGGGTCTATATAATATGATGGTTAACAGGGTTTAGGGCCTTAGGGCTTGGAGTGTTCTATATGGTTCATGGGGTTTAGGGCCTTAGGGCTTAGAGCTTTACGGTTCATGGTTTTGGAGCTTTAAGGTTTATGTTTGGGTTTAGGCCTTACAGGTCCGAGCTTAAGAGCTAAAGGTCGCAACAGCTAGCAATACTATAGGGGCCTAAAGAATTAACAATACTATTTTGGGGGTTCCTTATTGTATTTATTCTAGTCTACTATACCGCTTCAGGGCTTAGAGTTCAAGGGGTGGTGGTCTCGGCCGGCTTCTGGCCATGATAGGTCTGAGGCAGAGCGGAAAACGTCTCAAGACTTTCGTAATTCGATAGAGTTTCGCCTCACGGTGGATGTAGACTGCAGAGGCGGTTGCATAGACTTGTGCATCTGTCCAGAAGCATCAAGGCCCAATCCCTGAAGCGTGTCAGGAGCACTGGCGGGCATGATCGTGGGCTTCACGGTTGGCATCAGCAGGTGCTGCGGCAGAGTCTTTGTTTTGCTTCGGGCGCGTCTACACCGGTTTCGAACGCTCTGAGCCTCATCACATTGGCAAGACTGAGCTGGGTTGGTGCTGTGGCTTGTTTTTGTTAGTGCTGCTGCTGCTGCTGCTGCTGCTGCTGCTTCTGCTGCTGCTTCCTTTGCTGCTGGTGCTCCACCTCCTCGTTTACGGCTGCTCCTGTCACTACAGGCCTACTCTTAGTGCGAAATGTGGCTTCGATGGGTTCTGACTTCGGACAGCCTTGTGGGATCTAGCATAGCTGACACAGGCAAAGAGTGAAGCGGTGTGAAGAACCCAAAGGGTCCGAGGACTTAAGAGTCACATTGACCTGCTCCCCTAAACCCTAAACCCCTAATCCCTTATATAAGCCCTAAACCCTTTATCCCTGAAACCCTAAACCCTAAACCCCTAAATCCCTAATCCCCTAAACCCAGACAGCGACCTGGTAATTGGGTACTTGGGGCCCTTTATGTCTTTAGGGTAGATCAGCGTCAAAATACGAAAGTTCATGGGCTGAGGGATGTAGGCCTTCAACGTATCATCACAGAGGCCCATAGGGGTCTCCCTGGACCCTGAACCCCTAAAGCCCCAAATACCACAAAGCCTTAAAAGTCAAAGCCCTGCTGTTCCTTCGAATGTCAGGTTTGTAGCAACTCGTCTCGTCACCTGCGACGAGGGCGACACCTACAGCCTCACGTGCATCTTAACGGGCATTAGCTGTTTTGATACGCTCATGTGAGGATTCGCTAGGGTTGACAATTCGGGGTACAAGGTGCGGGGCTTAGGGCCAAGTTTAGTGTTTAGGTTGTGCAGGGTGTATGGTGTAATGTTTGGCATGCAGGGTGGGTTCAGGGGCAGGGCTTAGAGGCTGAGGGATGAGGGTTTGCTGTTCGGGTCGAGGGAAGCTTTGTTGACGGGCTCATTGTGGCAATAGTAGGAAGCACAGATTTTCCACCCTGTCACTTTTGCATAACTCTCACGATGATATAAAGGGTTTACTACCAGCGCAATAGCTTAAGTTGCGGGTGTGGAAGAGCCGGTGCGCCTCCCTGCGGCTCTTCGAGATTCGTTCTGAAGTGTCATTGGTTTATTTCGCCCTCGTAAGGTAGGTATTTTGGGCAAGGGGCATCATTGGAGGTTGCTGGTCGCCATAGAATCCCTAGAATATCAGGGCTCGGGTCATCATGAACCACTGGTTGTTAGGGCAGCTGAGGTATGCAGTTCAACCACATGGCCTTGATCCTCTTTGCCGGGTCCTGAGTTTCGGAGAGTTGCAGAGAGTCCGCGAACCTGTATCTATCGCCATCATCACATCATCCTGGTCGTCCTTAAAGCATTATCGCCATCTCCTCGTCGTGATCAGCAGTATCGTCTGCAGCTGAAATGGTCATCGTCATCATTTCATGCCGCAAGTGTGCACAAAGAGAGAAAGCCCTGGCAGATCTGAAGCCCGAAGCCCGTTACCTGCAAGGGCTGCGCACCTACATACGTGGGAGTTCTTTCTATTTGGGCAGCTTTCCTGATGATAGGGATCCCATTCTTTGGTGGTCGATCATTAGGTTTCCTCACCTTCCGAAACTGCCGCATGAACCCGGAGACCTTCCTCAAAAAACCAAGGCCATTGCGGCGATCGTCACGGTGGTGGTGAGTCTTCTGACGAAGCCTCCAGAGCCAAGCCAAGTGCAGGGCACAACATGGTGGAGGCGCACTCTCTGGGGCCTTGCCTTAGGGCACTTTAGGGTTTGGGTTGTGCAGTCATAATGGCAGAGGGTGTGGGTCCAGGATTTGGGTTTTTGCGGATGTAGGTTTTCTTAGTGCAGGTTTTTCCTCTTAGAAGTTAGCAAACTTCGGAGTCTCTGGGTGTGTGTTTAGACTGATCCCGGGTTTATGCGCGACAGAGTTTCAGGGTTACCGTGCAGACGACTCCAAGGGGCTAATGCAACTCTAGTTCGCGGATGTGTGACCAGTTGCAGTTGCGCCTGAGCATATCCTCACGACAGGTTGGGTCCTGTTTGGGCTGAGGGAGATGTGGCACACGATCGTGTGTGGCCCGCCGCGGCAGGTCTGATGCTGAAGGCTGCGAGAAAGAGGCACGATTCAGTTCAGCGCATGCATGATGCGAGAATAGAAGGATTGTTGGGGTGTATGTCAGCGCTGCAACCTTGAACCTTACACGAGCAGTGGGGATTCGGCTTGCATGGGTGTTCGGGCTGAGTGTCTATCAGCTAGCACAAGGGTCTTGGCATGTATCTTCGTGTAGACGAGATAGGCTCAGAGCCGCAAAAAGGGAAGCAGATGCGGTATACCCAACAGCCCTCCCTCACACCTGCAGAGCTTAAGAAACGAACCTCTCCCTCTGTGCTGTATCCAAAGCCTTGAGTCTCCATGAGCTCATGCCGGAAGTTGCAAGGTCTTTTAAAAGAGGGCTAATACAGGTATTCCTTTGAAGTCCTTTGCTGCTGTCTTTAAAGCTGTATGTCCGTATGTGAGTTGCAGGAAAATTGGGGATCCGAACTGGTCGCAGTCTCCGTATACAGACCACCCGAAGACCTCCTCCATACTATATGGCAGCCAGGGTGACGACAAGCCTGGTTTCGGCTCCCTCTGTGCCGCTGGCATTCTGCTGATGACAATGGCCGGTGCGCCCGAGGGCGTGTGCATGCACATATTCATAAGCAGTAAGCTATACAGTCCAGTTATCTATGTGCCTATCTATCTGCTGATACCTGTCCATCTACCTCTGCCTGCCTACCTGCCTAGCTACCTAGCTAGCTATCTGTCTACGGGCGTACCTATCTATCTGCCTATACCATGTTTGCATCAGACATGAAGATAAGTCTAAATCCTATGTGAAGGATTCCGGGCTTGGGCCCGTGTTACGGAAACTCCTCTTTAGATCTCGAGACAAGGACCCGGAACCCCAAACCCACTGAAGGAAGTTGGAATCTCGGGCTGTGTATTGGTAGAAGGGGCGGTCTTGGCGAACCCTCAGCTCATGAACGCCTGTCCTGGTTGAGGTTTTCAAATTTCGGTTCGCTGGCTTCGTGTGTCGGCCTGGGAACCTACAAACACTAAGACTTTCAACCATGCTGGGACGAGTTTCAACATTCCCCACTCTCACCAATCCATGCGCGAACCCCTTCGGCTATTCCCGAAGACCGCAGGGCGCAAGCTCCTGAACTTGAATCCTTCAGCCCTGACATGCATCAACCCCAAAGCTCTGTCACCCAAACCCTCAAGCCCTCGAAGGCCTTAAGTCAAAGCCTTGTAAACCCGATACGATGCTTGTCCAGGTCTATGCCTGGGCTTCGGCTACAGCGGTGCTGACCGCCAAGTGGTCGTAAGAGGATCACTGCTGGCTCCCATAGGCCTGGGCATCGGCCTTCAGGGCGGACTTTGGGGTTCAAGGTTTGGGGTTTGTGGGGCTCCATGTGTTGGGCGTTGTGTGGGGTGGAGGGCTTAAGAACTCGCTCCAGGATGCCTTCTACTCTGAAGGGCTCCTCGGTTTAGCTGTCAGTGCACACCCTGCTCCCGGAATGTTTGAACAAAATGGCCCCCCACAGCACCAGCGAAGACATGACTGGCAGGAGGAATCCTGATGGTTCAATTGAGCATACTAACACCGTTGTTGTTGTCATGATGGTCATGGCTGCTATGTTGGTCAATGTCATCGTGACCATCGTTACGGATGTATTCGTTTTGCACCCCTCCATGTTACACATACAGAATGACCGACTGCCAAACACGATTCAAGACATTCGTGGCATTTCATCCTAGCCTCCTTAACCCCTACACGCGGAGTCCGGAACAAACGTGCTGCAGCCTGAGGCCAGCCTTGAGCCGTTCTGGCTGGTAGTGCAGTTTCGGAGTTCCCTCCAGCATGTGACCTGAACCCCGCAATCTCGAAAACAATATCAAGCCAAAACCCTGAAAGCACTGACCTCGATACTTTGGATTCCTGGGATTTCTGGATTTTCAAAGCTTTCAGTAGAATCACGTTGCAGGCATTGCATGCGTTGCTGCCTGAGGCCCAGTTCCACTGTGAGAAAATCTTGAGTTTTCGGTGCTTAGGTCTGAGGTTGTAGGGGCGGGGAGGGGGGGGGGGGGGTTGTGGTTATTTGCTAAAAAGCCTACGGCATTCAGGCGGCCTATATCATCTTCGCCTTGCGGGTTCCCGAAGCCCTAAAGGACAACAGCCAGAAGTTGCAAACCCCATTGCGAAGCAAGACAATGAGACCCATGTTCAAGCAGTCTGAGCCATAGAAGCTCTACCAGGCAGACCCCGCAGTTTCTGCCATGGATGAGTAAAGTAGGGATGCAAGCATAGGAGTACTTGTCTTACTTGGGTGCTTCTCTGGAGCAACAGCGGCGTCACGCCTCATCAAAGCTGCCGAGGTCGTGTTTATCGCCGGAGTTCTTCTTCAGAGACTTCGTGCTTCCAGAAGGCTCAAGGGTTGTGGGAGCTTCACCCGTGTTGCCTCAAGAAACCAAAAAAAGTCACATGCAGTCTTATTGACTTGCGTACGTGCATACATACGTGCATACACACACGTCACATTCACATACACAGACACATGAAGACGTTCGTACATACATGCATGATAGATGTTACACTGCAATTATAGCCCTGCCTTTGTCTTCACCTTGGCGCCATGCTTGCATTAGCGGCCGAGATTCAAGGTAGTTGGATGCTGAGAGCAATGAGCAATGGGGCGATTCTGAGAGCTTGAGGCCACTTTCGGAACTTTGGTGACCTACGCCCTCGAAGCAGGCGCAGTGCCAAGCCGATCACAGGGCTCCAACCTGACGGCGCTGAAGCCGACAAGAAGGCAACGGTGACTTCGGAGTGGGATTTGGTCGTTCACCCCCAATGTGATAGGGGTGTGCGTCACATACCATTCTGGTGGGAGCGGAAGGAGGAAGAGGTTAGGCTTGGGGCTTCTGGCGGGCTTGGACTTGCACTCAGGACGTCCCAGGTCCTAGTGGAACGTAGAGGGACCCTGGATGGTTGAGTTTTGCTCCTTACTTAGAGGGGAAGTGGCGTACTTAGGCATCACGAGCCTCAAGCGAAACCCTACAGCCTTGCTCCTTCAGCAGTAGAGTGCGAATTAGACCCTACACCCTGAAATCCTGTCAGTGTCGCAGCTGGAGAGGCTAAAGTCGCAAGACCATTACTTACCATGTCGAACGCGGACAGGCTGCAGAAGAGCCGACGAAGGACGAAGGCGTCATTGAGATGTAAAGAGTCTGCCAGCAACCTCGCTGCTAAATTGATGTTCTACGTACTTGTAGCTGTAACAGACCTAAATTCACAATGTTTCCTATTCTGACGCCCTTACGTGTCCTTGTCCTTGTCAGGGTTATGGGTCATAGGTCGGACTAGGCGGACTGGGCTTCATGGGTTGGGAGACTCAAGCATTCGGGATCTGAGCGCCCCATCATGTAAAGCTTTTGGTATGGCAACTACGCAAACTCAGGCATTCATTATTCCGCCTGTTTCATGGAAGGCTCAGCAGCCAACTCTAAAGCTCATACGATTTCGGTTTGCCGTTTGTGTTGCTCTTCTTCCTGCTGACATTTCTTGATCTCTCTCGTCAATGAGGTTTATCCCTTCGGACATTACTGTTTCCAGTTGAGTTCGTAGCAGGGCAATTTGGGGCTGCAACGCACGCCGTCAGTCCTCTCTGTGCTGCCCTTGTGATGGTTCGTGTGCACGACATTCTCCTTCGGCGACCTTCACCCTGTGTTGGAAAACCCTGCACCGGAAGCCACTGAGGCATTTCAGGATGTTGAGCAGCTGCACGTGTAAAGAAGCCTGCCCACACGAGGCACCTATTGTCTTGTGTTTAGTCAGTTTTCAATGTAGTGCCTGAGCAGACGTGCAAGCACAAAGACTTGCTGTCGAAGAATTCATGCGCCCATTTCCACTTGCATGACACATGTGGGCACCTTTATCACAGAGGGTGAGCTGATTGGGACAGGTTCTCCGGACATGTTTACACGAACAAATTGCTACTATTCCCGTAGAAGAGATGTCTTTACATCACATGCAAGTTGGCTTTCACGGCTATAGCTGGGCATGCCACTGGATGAGCCAAGCCACCCAGGCATCTCAGATGTGCATGTTCATAGACCGGGACAGACCTCGAATTGAAATGAGGAGTTAACATCTTCCGACCTGAAGGAGCACCGCATCCCTTGATTGAGGATTTCCCTTGCAAATGTGTTCAGCTCAAGCTTGGGGCAGGTCGGAGTCTGAAGTTTCGGATTCGAGCTTTGGGCTTCATGAGATGTAAGCTCTCCCGACCTCTCAGCAGTGTTCTCAGAGTGTGGTGCAACGTGATGCTTCCATGCAGATCACTTCACACCTTCGGCTGTGCAGGTAGAGGCAGATTGACAGATAGAGGTGGTCCTGTGATTCCTAACTAGAGCGTAGGCTGGTTGAATCCTGCTTGGCAAGAGGCACATGTTAGGATCAGCCACAACTCTTCCGAGAGCCCATCTCCCATCTGTAGGATGTTGTAGGTTGACTTCAAGGCTTTAGGCCAGTAGGATGTCGCCTGAGTTCAGTCTTTTTGGGAGGGTTGTCAAAGGCTCAATACTTCGAGTTTCGGTCTTTGCTTGGCCCTGGGCCCTTGGGCCGTTCCATGGAGTTGAGTCTCAGCTCTTGATCAAGGCCGTGGGCCAGTGCCTGGGCCGCTTCCCAGTATAAGATAGCATAAACTTAAACATATTTAATTGGTAAAATATACTTGCTAAATGGGCCTCGTCTGCAACAGGCTCCTGGCTCAAAGTTTCGAAGGGGGCCACGACCTCTGAGATCGACATTTCGTGTCGCTGCCATGGCGGATTCCTCGATGTAACCGACCGGGTGCTGCAGCAGGATTGACTGCCTTATGTGATGATGCTTACCCTGAAGCCCTCTGTCCGGGAAGGTTTCAGGCTTGTTCTGAGCAAAAGTCAAATCAGGAGCCCTGCAATATAGACCCCAAAGCCCCGAAGTCCCGAGCATAATCGATCGGCTTCATGGTCCCATGCAGGATTTGTCTGCGAAATGCAGAAAGCTACCTCTAACAGGCTACCAAGTAGTGGTTCCTAGACACACCACCTGCATGGTCATTAGTCATTAGTCAGTCGGCAAGAGCTTACACAGCCCGTAACTAGACCAGAAAGCCCTCATTGACCTGTGGAGCCTCACAAGTGTCGCACATCCCCCAAATACATGTCCAACAACCAGGACGCAGCAATGAACATGATATGGATGCATCAAGCGCGCGTTGCAATGAGGACGTTGCAGCCGGAGCCCTTGGAATTGCTCAAGTCATGTAAGATGCCGGTCTGGAAAGCGGCCTGGGCTCGGTTAGGTGCCACGAGTGCAGGACCCAAAGGCTCTATGTACCCTTAATAGTAGACACTTGCACCTCAAAGGGGTCCCTGTCTTGGTACTTGAAGGCCTCTATATACTATATGGGCACATGGAGCCCTAGGGGGAATTGGTGATAAATAGGAATGTCGCGCTCAAGGGTGCAGAATATAGGTTTCGACCGAGTGTAAATTTGTGGCCTCGCTTCAACGGTTTCGTTTGCATTCGAGATTCGTGCTTTGCTCTTACGACTCAGGTTTCGGACGTAGCGCGTGTGGGGGTTCAGGGTTCCGGGATTCTGAGTTCATTACATGTGCTTTGATTTGGCTTCGGAGCAGCTTGTGTCTTGGAATTTGCTGTAGTCCAGTGGCCTGTGTGGTGCTGTCCTCCCAATATGCCAAGACGCAGGGTGGCTAAGGTTGATCCTTTCAAGCTTGAGGCCTGAAGTTGCCACAAGCATGAAACAACAGTGAATGATGCATGACAAGGACGGTGGCAGCCATGAGCAGCAGATGGTTTTGTCCAGCTTCTGCAAGATCCCACTGCGGATACAGCTACCTGGCCTCAGTTTCGGATAATGATTGCCGAGCACGCGAACGGTGACTCTTTGAGATTTTTACTGTATCCGTGATACAAGGATTGCGAGATATAGGGTTGGAATTCAGTTTTGTATCCTACCTGCAGGGATGTTGGACGCTCAGGTTTCCGATGTTTGCTGTTTGGGAGTTCAGGGCTTGAGTCCATGAAGGCTTCGTATTTGTGTGGCATTGACTCCGTAGTCGATAGTCATAGTCAGAAGCATTTTGCCACAACTGTTTGTGCTTTCACCGGTTATGGCCTCGCAGCTTGTGGCTTGAAATTTGCCGCAATCGCTGGCCTCCGCGGCAGAATCCTTCCAATATGAACGCACGCGGGTCGATCAAGGTGGACCCTCTCAAGCTTGAGGCCGGAAGTTGCGAGTTCTGTGTCTGCAGCCTTTCTTTGTGCAGTACTGTCCTTCACTTCAGAGCCCTCCTGCATCTCGCGTGTAAGGCCACCTGGCACCTCGCAGCAGCGGACGTCGCGGGCTTGAATAAAGGAGATCGCAGAGATTCGGCTTT